GGGGGGCTGAAGAGGTTCCTTAGGCCTAACCCCTTTTCTGTTTTTGGCATTTCCTTTTATATTCCCTGCGCTTCTGCCCTGGGAATTTGATTATTGCCATCATCAACATTGGGGGGGGGGGATTATCTTCTTCATAGGGTTCAGTTTTCAAGACAGGTTTGATTTTAATCTGACTTGCCTTGATCTGAGATCTGGGATTTCTATTCATTTGGGCCACACAGACCCTCATGAGTTTGACTCAGCATTTGCAAAACCATTCAGGATTCTGTTTTACTACTACTTGCCACTGGTCAATATACTGGCATTGATCTGTTTGACCATTATCTGGGTCAGTAACAATCTGGTGGACTTTTGAAATGATGTCTAGATTAAAACTGCCTTCGGGCTTCCCTTCTTAAAATTCCTCAGCATACACTGAAGAGGTGTCCAGGGGACACTTCCTCCACCACCCATTTCTAGACACTGCCACTGACCTGTGATGCCAGACGTTCCAACGGTCACCAACAGGAACTGCAATGGCTTAACCACCCACACAACTCTTGGGCCTCATTAGGATTCACTGATCCCAGACCCAGGGGGGTGATCAGGCCCCCTCTTCCACTCTCAAACGAGTGGGTCCACAATTCCCCAATACTTATACTTGCCTGCAGGTGTCTTCTTTCCAGCTGGTGTTATTTCGTGACTTATTTTTGATTCCATTTAGGTTCTTGGATCCGTCGGTTGTCTACCAGATACCCCTATGGTGCCGTCTTCCCCTTCTGGATAAATCATCCGTGCCGGCTGAAGGGTCAGCGAGACAGCCCCGGCTGAGCACTGGTCGGTCCGTGCCGTCCTCAGCAAAATATTGCTCTGAGTCCCGGCGGAGTCGCCATAAATGTTGCAAGAAATTATGAGACTCAGACCTTGGAATCCAAAAATAAGTTGGTTTTATTTGAGCAAACAGGTTCAGAGTATTTTAGTGAGAGTCACTTCTGAACAACTTTCTTATTGAACAGCACATGCCTATATACTTGTTCAGAAGGGGCAAAACACAGAAATAAAACTTGTCAGTTATTCATTGGTTACTTGAAACACAGCTTTCCCCGTCCCCTGTTGCTAGGCTAGGATGGCTGGATGCCACAAACCCATCTTGCTAAACTCCCTAGCTTGTGGTTTTGTTACAAGCGAGACAAGGTATCTTGGCAAATATGACTTTGTGACCGATAGATGATCCTTGTGGTTTGGCTTTTCACAGTTCCTTGTTCTTTCTCTTGCTAATACCACATATTTCACTATCTATAAAACTTGTATCATTATTTCTCTAAAATTAATATATTTTTATGTCCTGCCTTACCACCAATGCCTTTTCCTCCTTCCCATTTGGCAAGTCTCAAACAAAGTCTTAAAAATTCCCCTGCTTTAAGCAGTGGTAAGTATAAAGCACTGAAAAGGGAATTGGAGCAATGTAAAAAAGATATTAGGACCCGGACGATTCTACAAATACACAACTAGTTTAAGTTCAGTTTGTAATGAAGGCATGGCTGGATTTTCTCAAAGAAGCCCAAAAGATTGATGTCCAGCGAGATAATGAGAAGTGGAGAAAAGGGGTGAGATTTCTGTGTTGTATTTTAAATGTCCCCCCCCTCCCTTGTCCTTGCTGGTTGTTAATTTTTCTTTCTCTTGCTCAAGGACTTTTTGCCTTGAAAAAGCAAGAGAAGCAGGAAAAAGGGGGGGGGGGGGAGTGAGGCTTTTTGCTCATTTTAACCATTTTTTTTTTTTCATGCTTTGAGCTTTTGCCTGAGAAAGGTGGGGCTGGAAAATAACTTTTTATAGGTTACACAGCTTGCACAGGTAGTCATTGCTGTAGAAACACTATTTCATATCATGATTTTTCTCAGCGCTTCTGCAAACAAAGAAACCTTAGATGGCTAGGATGAAGTGGGCAGTTTGCCTAGAACATTATCTTTGAAGGTGGCTCAGTTCCCAGTTTACAATGGAGCTCAGTTCAGCAAGTGTTAGATCGGGTAGATCGGTTCCCACAGAGACGCGAGACCAAAAGTGATCATTCCGCTGTTTATTCAGTATACAGTTCTGTACAAGACCTGCGATCCGCGGCAGCCCTTCATATAGGAACTGCTCGCGGCTCAGTGGCCAATGACAGGGCTTTGAATCTCCCGCGATCGGCTCGGCCAATCACGGTTGATTCTTAGCGCGCCAATCACGGCCGTTTAGTTGTCCAATCAGGTTGCGGTTCGTGTGGACCAATCAGGATTCAGGGTTTGGAGTATGCTAATATAGAACACCCCTCCCCTCTTGGTTTCGTCCGACGGAGCGTGGTCACGTAGTCGCGCAGGTAGGTGGGGCTTCGTATCTGTCTAGTTGACCGGCACGGTTCAGTTGTTGTTTGGTCTTCGACCGGTTCGGACGGACTCTTCATTGCTCCTGTATCCCTGGATGGAACCGCCTGGAAGGGTGAGCTGGGCCTATTCCGGTAGCTCCCTCCCGGTCTACCCGGGTTGGTTGAGCTGCCGATTCCGCTGTTCCCGCCTGGTCTTTCCGGGCTGGTTGAACTGGCTTGGCTGCTCCCTCCAGGTGAAGCTCCCAGTTGTTCATCAGCTACGGGTTCGTCGTCTACCGGTGAGTAAGGCTGGTTTATTATTGTTTGGGGCTGGTTTGCTCTGGTTGGGGGGTGTTCTGTTTGCGTTTTAGGATTCCCTTCTTCTCTTTGGTTCTGGTTTGAGGTTTCTGTCGCCCCCTCCCCCCCCGGTTTCTTTGTTGGTTGTTGTTTGCGGTGTTTGTGTGCTGTCAGTGGCTATTCTTGACCTTAGTTGGTCGATATGCTGCTTCCAGCTTCGTCCGTCGCTGGTCTGTAGCCGGTAAGACTGGGGGCCCGTTATCTGGGTTATTTGTGCCGGTACCCAGAGTGGGTCCCCTGTAAAGTTCTTGGTGTAGACGGTATCTCCTATGTTGAATGTTTGGTATTTGCTTGATGAGTCTGGGGGTTTCTCGGGGTTATATGTGGGGTGTAGTCTGTCTAATGGGGATCTTAGTTTTCTGCTCATGAGTAATTCTGCTGGGCTTTTGTTTGTGGTTGTGTTGGGTGTAATGTGTTGTATTAAAAGCATTTTATTTATTTTCTCTTGTATGTCGCCGGTTTTGATTTTCTGTATGGTGTTTTTTGTGAAACGGACCATGCGTTCCGCCCACCCGTTTGCCGCCGGATGAGCGGGCGCTGTTAACGCATGCCGTATTCCCCGTTCTGCCAGAAACTTTTCAAATGCTAGTGCGGTAAATTGTGGGCCGTTATCTGACACTAGCATGTCTGGCAGCCCATGCATGGTGAAAAGTTTGTTTAGTTTTTTTATGACGGCCTCTGTGGTTGTGGTTTTCATGGTGCTTACCTCCAGCCAGTTGGAGTAAGCATCTACGGTAATCAGGAATGTGTGTCCCTTGGTAGGCCCGGCAAAATCTATGTGGATTCTAGACCAGGGGCCCCTGGGAGTTTCCCATTCCAGGATCGGGGTGGTGGGGGGGCTTGGCCTGGTTTCCTGGCACCTTTTGCATTCGGATACCCAAGTCTCGATTTGTTTGTCCATCCTTGGCCACCAGGCGTAACTCCTGGCCAGGGCTTTCATTTTGACCATGCCCGGGTGCCCCTCATGCAACATAGATAATACCCTTCTTTGCAAAGTCTCTGGAATCACAACCCTGTCCCCCCAAAGTATGCAACCCTTTTGCGTGAAGAGTTCAGTTTGCCAGTTTCTGAAGGTTTTAAAATGTTCGTTGCCGTCGTTTTCCGGCCACCCTTTCTCTACCCAGCCCAAGACTCGCGCCAGCCACTTGTCTTTATTAGTCTCTCTGGCAATGTCTGACGCGGTCAGGGGTGGGTTGGGCAATGTCTCAATGTGCAGGGTTGTTGTTGTGGGTGCCGGGTCATCCTCCAGGTCTGGTAGGGGGGAGCGGCTCAACGCGTCTGCATGCGAGATGTTCTTTCCGGGCCGGTGTGTCAGCTGGTAGCTGTAGGCGGCAAGGAACTCGGACCACCTTGTCATCCTAGGTGACAGGATGTTCGGGGTGGCCTTGTTCCCTGCCAGGATCCCTAGTAATGGCTTGTGGTCGGTAACAATTGAAAAGGTCCTACCGTAGAGATACTCGTGGAAACTTTTCACGCCGGAGATGACTGCTAGGGCCTCTTTGTCCAGCTGGCTGTAGTTCCTTTCCGGTTTGGATAGTGTTCTTGAAAAGAAGGCGATGGGTGCCTCTTTTCTGTCTGGCAGCGTGTGGCTGAGGATGGCCCCGACGCCAAAGGGTGACGCATCTCATGTCACGGTCAGCGGCAGGGTCTCGCTGTATTGGATAAGGACTGCATCTGATGTTAGTAGGTCTTTGGTTTGTTTGAAAGCGTTTTCCTCCCGCTTCCCCCAGGTCCAGATGGCTGTTTTATCCAACAGCCTATGCAAAGGTTCCGCCGCGGTCGCCTTTTGGGGTAGGAAAACATTATAAAAATTAATGAGTCCGAGAAAAGCCTGCAGTTCCGCCTTATTCCTTGGTCTAGGGGCTTCTTTGATGGCTCTGAGCTTTTTCTTGGTGGGGTGGATTCCATGTTTGTCTAGGAGATACCCCAGGAATTCGACCCTCTCGGTGTACAGCTGGCATTTTTCTTTTTTAACTTTAAGCCCAGAGTCTTTGAATTTTTGTAATACCTCCCGTAGGCGGTTTTCCAATTGCATTTTATTGGTGGCTGCCATTAACACGTCATCAAAATAGGGCACCACCCCTTTTATCCCTTGGAGCAGTCTTTCCATTAGGCTTTGGAAGACCCCTGGCACCACACTGACTCCAAATTGGAGCCTGTTACATCGGAATGCCCCTCGGTGGGTTACGATAGTTTGCGCCTCTGCAGTTGTAGCATCGACCGGCAACTGCTGGTAGGCTTGTGCCAGGTCGATCTTCGCGAAGACCCGGCCTCCCCCCAATGAGTGCAGGAGGTGCTGTACTACTGGGATGGGGTAGGCACTCTGCTGCAGTGTGTGGTTGAGGGTGGCCTTGTAGTCACCGCAAATTCTTACGGACCCATCCGGTTTGATTGGGGTGACTATGGGGGTCTCCCATCGGGCATGGTCAATAGGCTCTAAAACCCCCTGTGCGATGAGCTTGTCTAATTGCTCATCGATCTTGGGCTTGAGCGCGAATGGCACTCGCCGCGGTTTAAGGTGGATTGGGGCAACGTTTGGGTCTAGATTGAAAGAAATTGGGGACCCCCGGTACTTGCCTAGGGTGTCGTCGAAGACCTCTTGGAAGTCCCTCACGAGCATCACTTCCCAGTCCACCTCGTCGACGTGGTGGATGCCCGTCACCTCGATTCCCAGCGGTGTGAACCACTGTAGTCCCAACAGGCTTGGGCGGTCTCTGTCCACGATGGTGAGCAGCAGCACCTCTGTATGCCTTTAAAAGTTATTTTGAAATGTCCAGTTCTGACTACAGGGATACGGTTTCCCTGATAGTCTTTTAGAGTCAGCTTTTGATTTTCCAGCTCGTGGCGGCGGATGGTAGGCACCAGGCATTTGATTGTGTGCCAGGAAACCATGGAGAGGTAGGATCCGGAGTCCACCTCCATTCCGCATGGTTGATCCTTGATGCCTACCTCCACGTGCACCTTCCGGGCGTCGATGGTCGAGGAGTGGCTGATGACGACCGTCTGATGGGTCTCCTCTCTCCGCCGCGCCTCGCTGAGCCGCTTGCTCAGGCCATCTCGGCTCCATCGGCTTTCGGTGTGGCGGTCCCTGGTCCTGGGGGGGGGTGCTGTCTCATCGCCGGGGGCTGCCATCTCGTCATCGGGGGCTGTAGTTCCATTTATTCCAGCAAACCTTGGCGATGTGCCCCCGCTTGTCGCAATGCCGACAGATCGCATTGAGGAAACGGCATTCTGAGCAGGGGTGATCGCCTCCACAGCCGGCACATTGGAACCCCGACTTACGACTTCTCCACCGGTCG